TATATAGTAGTATAGTNATATATTATATATATATATATATATATATATATATATATATACTATAAACACGTTCGAGACACGCTCGAACGTATGCAACCTTATCACGTAATGGCGTAGAATAGAAAGCCTCTATAGTGATATAGCTGGTTCTTGAGAATTGGCCCATGTATCATATTTCATTTACGGTAGTGCAGATAAAAGCCACCAAAATCAATGTCTCATGTACTGCTTCTGGTGAGATTTCTTGCGCCTGCGCGATTTTTTTTCACCCACATATCATAACCCGACGACGACTTTAAGCTGTCTTTAAAGTAACTGCGTCGCCGACAGTATTTCACTTCTTTGAAACTTCATGGCCGTGATGCTGGGTTATATGCATTTCAATCAACTCAAACCCTATTTAAAGCTTAACCTGGTGATAGAAATTGAATCCTGACTCTGATTCTGACCCTATTCCACGCCCTCATCGACAACATCGTATCTCGAACATTTCCTAAATATTCGTAAGTTAGAAATGTAGTTTGGAGGCTATGCCTATCATATGTGAAAGGGTCCTGAGCAAGCGGGTTTTCTTCTGATACATCCTCTCAATTTGCTATCATTGTAGGATACGTACCCGGAAAGGTCGCCATCATTCGAAACTAGCTTTCCCGAGGCCTACAAGAAGCTGCAGACTATACTTGGTGACCGCATCACGCTGGATGAAGATGCCTTAGAGGTACCATGTGTACCTCTATGCTTTGTTAATGATTATTTTCCGTGCTTTTCGTATCTACACCGCGCCATCCCCTGCTGTTTCCTCCTTTATCGTAAACACAAAAGCTCGATATGCCGGGCGCATGTGCTATGTTCTTAGTTCAATTCTGGATTGTATGACCTATTTTCCTTACACTGCAGGGGCACGGCAAAGAGATGAGCGGATATGCCAAGCCTGCATGGCCTCAGGCAGTGGTCTGGCCTGTCAGCACCGAAGAGGTGTCGGAGATTGTCAAGGTAGGTGTACCCGTTCGTGTTCTATTTTGTGCCAAGTCTGCTGAGACATTACTTTTCTTTTTATCCTGTACCTGGGTAGCAATTCTGGGATAGCGGAGAGTCGTGTATTCGTTGGCATTCACAGGGGGAGACTATGTCTATCTATAAATGGCAGTTTTCTACACAGATCACGATACATATAGCCATATGAAAGAGTTGCTTAGGCATGTATACAGTTCGCCATCTGTACCACCTTTCTGATAAGTCTTTGTATTAATGCACTAACATAATCATATTCGATCTGCATGACACACACCGTCTAGGTGTGCGCTGAATATGTTATACCCATCATCCCTTTCACGGCTGGTACTTCGCTTGAAGGTCACACAGTGGCACCCAAAGGCGGGATCACCATGAATTTCCGAGAAATGAGTTCAGTCATCCAGTACAACGAAAAAGACATGGATGTGGTAGTACAGCCAGGTGCGTGCGCAAGAGAGGCTTGTGGGTTATGTGATCGGCACAAATTGGCAATAAGATGCATATTGCAATACGGGATACCTAGTTGCTTAAGAAGCATTGTGACATACATATGTGGTTTGAACACTCCAATGGTTCAGCTTAGCCATAATTTTGTGCATAACACTAGCAAACACAATTCACGCAGGAATCGGCTGGATGGAACTGAATGACTACCTCCGACCTCACGGAACGTTCTTGGGAGTGGATCCTGCCCCAGGTGTGTTCGTGTTGCGTCTACATGTCGTGCGTGTGCAGATCTATAGCAGAAGTTTAGTAGAGACCAAATGTAGGAAGAAGCTCACTTGTATGTGACCCCCCTGGTATATGGACTACTGTTCTGTGTGCACAAGAGTGGGATTTTTAAAAAGTACAAGTCGCCTAAAACACTTGTGAAATGCCACGTCTAATCATCTACGTGCATCCAAATTTTGAGTGAATGTGACTACGGTCATGTGCGTGTATATTTTGAAATAACTTTTGGTACAAAATATACTGTATCCGACTTCATAGCTGTAGTGTAGTGGCATGTTGCGCAAAAGTTGTCGCATCGCACAACTTTCTCTGGACTGATGTGGCTATTGGACCTTTACGTCCTGATATGACTATTAAATGGTGCCGCTGCTACCACAATGCTCTCAGCAATATGGCGCCTACATCATGCCCGTTTGTCCGGATGCAGTGTCGGGATGCCCCCCACATTTGACGGTTAAGATTTTTGTGCAACATAGATAATAGTACTTAAACTTCGTCTTGGCTTGAAGTGTGTGGTCTTACAAAGCTTCCGTGTGCCAAACGTACCATCTCATCTTCCTATACCGCTCACCCATGTCGGCTTCCTACCACTCGATGTGGCATCCTCACTGCTGGCATAGGTGCGTGTATCGGTGGCATGTGTGGCACCTGCTGCTCAGGCACGAATGCTGTGCGATACGGGACGATGAAAGATCAGGTATGTAAAACTCAACATCAAGGCTTTTTTTATTTATAGTATAGCACTAACGGTTCGAGCGCTTCGCGTCGGATGTCATGTATTACTGGTCCGTCTCGGGCCTCTATGTCACACGATGATTTGTTGGTATACGGGGTCTGAGAAGGATCAGGCCATAGACCGAGCAACATATAGCCAGTGGTCATTCTGAAGTCAACACTCCTTTTCGGCCTCCATTGAACCTAGAGGACATGTATATGCTGTCCATGCACGATCGATTGTGTATAGAGTAGTCCTGGTAAGGTATTTCACAAGTGTCGTGATCGCTCAAGGAATGCGCAATTAGTTTACGGCATAGCTCATTGTGGCTACTGCAGTGTTCGGTCAATTAAATATATACAGTACATCAATGCTATAAAAAATAAACGAGTCATCTGCCTTTTATGCCATCACAAGCGAAGATGCCACATCGGCCGCGTCGGTCGGTCTTTCAATATAGGTGCAAGCGAGTAAGGTCCAAACATGGCTATTTGCGCTAAGACGCTAGTTGATTATCTTGCGTCATCGCGGTTTTTATATCAACACCACAGAAGACCAAACTCCTACATATGCATGTGTGAATTTGATTCTTGCATCCCAGTTTCCAGAGATATCAGTTAAATATGTCAAATTGAAGGATTGCTCTCACTTCACACCTGACACCGTGACAGGTGGTGAACCTAACCGTTGTCATGGCCGATGGCTCGATTGTGAAAACTGGTCAACGCGCCAGAAAGAGCAGCGCTGGTTACGATCTGGCGCGCGTGATTGTGGGCTCTGAGGGTACGTTAGGAATTGTCACACAGGCCACTCTCAGAGTCAGGCAAATACCACACCACACGTCTGTGGCGCGGGTGAACTTTCCTTCCGTCCATGAGGTATGTGAGAGTGTCTGTGTGTTTTGCTTTGTGTGAGTGCAAGTGTGCTTATCGAAAGGTTAATCTCGCGCGTGCGGGTGTGGGCTGTAAATTGCGTTACACGGGGGGGATTCCATCCGTCCATGGAGTATGCAAGCATTCTATGTATGTAACCCTTTTGTTTATGTGTAGTATTATGATTAATCGTTTGGTACGATCTCGCACGTGCAATTGTGAGCTCTCAGGGTCACGCTGGAGTGTGTCACACAGGCCACTCTCAGGGACAGGCACATACCACAGCATACGCTTGTTGCGCATGCGAGGTTTGCATTCGTACATGAAGTAAGCGAGTGTTTGGATGCTTCGGTCTCTATGCATGCCAAGTGTGTGGAGTTGTTTGGTTCATTTCTGGCGCATGTGATGTGGTCATACCTGAGCGAACGCTGGTGATTGTCACACAGGCTGACTCTTGAGGTTGGGCACATACCACCGATACATCAGTTGCGCGGTGCAAATCCATGGTACCTTGCCCTGTGCGAGTATGTCCATGTAATCTTGTGCTTATCAATACAGCGTGTGTGTGATTGTATGGTGCGATGTGGATGGTTTCACACGCCACTTCCACAACTAGGCCCACGTCAAACCGCTCGCCTATTGCGCGTGATTTTTATTCGGTTTCGGGCAACTCTGGGCGGATATCGGATATACCATCACATAGATGAGTGGAATAAGAATTATTTAAAACATCTGTCATTGTCCATTCTAAACGCCGTGTTGGCCCTGGAGCACCGGTCTCTCAGCGGTGTGGCTATTAGTGATGCTATACACACCTGCCCTGTAGGCGTCTGAGGCAGTGATCAAGATGCTGCAGCAAGGCATTCAATTAGGCGCAGTGGAACTTTTGGACGAGGAAATGGTTCGTGCAACCAACCAATACATGGGCATGGAACTGTCCGAGTCGCCCTGCCTGCTCATCAAATTTGCTGGGAGGTGATGTATGGGAAGTATATATGTACATTCATAGTGTTATGAATTGTCCGAGTCGCTTTGCCTGCTCATAAAATTTGCTGAGAGGTAATGTATGAGGAGTATATATGTACATTCATAGTGTTATGAACTGTCTGAGTCGCCCTGCCTGCTCATAAAATTTGCTGGGAGGTAATGTATGAGGAGTAAATATGTACATTCATAGTGTTATGAATTGTCCGAGTCGCCCTGCATGCTCATAAAACTTGCTGGGAGGTAATGTAGGAGGAGTATATATGTACATTCATAGTGTTTCTATGGTATGTGTAGACTCGGATATTCAAGTGACTGTGAATCTCGTGGTCTATAACTATGAAGTGGAGCCTGTGTTTAGCTTTTGTGGGCTAGTATCGTGATGCAGGAAGATTCGTACTGTTTCCCAATCATGTGTGTGTGTGTCGCGTGTGTGAGGTCATGGTCGTAGTCGAACTTGTAGGCCGGACTGATTGTTTAGCCTGCTGAAAGTATCATCGGATAGCACTGTAGGCTTGTCTGTTACTGAATGCCGGCTGTATACTTGAGTCTTGGTTGCTGACGTCTCACTTTATACGAAACTGGTCATGAAAGCGGTACCACATTCGCAGGCAAAACCACACTCGCAGGCAAACCCACACTCGCAGGCAAAACCACACATAATACACGGTGTAGATACTTTCCAAAAATATACAGTGAATTGTGTCAGGGACGCCCAAACGATATGTATTCTATTCATATCGATTCACGCACATGCCGATACGGTTCGGCACCGGTTGCCGTTGTCACATCCCGCTGCGCTTGCTTGATTCCTGACTTACCAATACACGACCCTTTAACACTTCCAGTGAGGCACACGTCGCAGACGATGTGAAGGAAGTAAGCAAAATAGTGGCAAAGCACACGTCGGAACCCTTTGTGTGGACGAAAACGCAGGAGGTATAATAGTGGATGCGAATGGGTATTGTATATGATGCTATAGTTACGTGTGTGTGTGTGTGTAAGTATATATATATATATATATATATATATATATATTGTGTGTGTGTGTGTAGTG